CTCTTATTCTTCATCCAAATGGGCAGCCAAAAGACAGCAACCAAAACCGGCGTACGAATAATGGTTGTACAAACTGAACTGAACTGTAGACTTTGTTCGACCTCTACTCTTCGACCAGATTAGATCTTCGGCTTGACAAAAGCTATACTGCGTAGCTCATTGGGTCAGCGAGGTGTAGAAGCCACGTCAAGGTGTGGTCTCCTCGTGGTGGTTACATAGGATATGGAACAACCCATCTTTGTGAGTTTGTTTCGGACATAACAGCTCGCGCGTTTCAGTAGTAGCTTCCATGACTGGGACAATTATTATTATTACCCTAGATAAATACTCCTTCATGCTTATATACTTAGCCTCCTGAGTGTCATCGTTTCAAACTACTGATTCCCAAGCGGCGACTGGATTGCCGGCGCCAGTCTTTTGTTGTCAGAGTATGCAGATCGTGGAACGTCCCTACATCTCACGTCGTTTGTGCACCCACTATTGAATCTTTCAAGTAGAGACTCGACGAAACCTTGGCACACCTCACATTCATACACCACTAAAAGCAAACGGAAATTCACTGTAGCCTACATTCTGTTTTATCTCCTACCCGGAACTCTAAGTGACTCCTTTTTCGATGTGTAACGATTTACCTGTGTCAATATCCTACGGGACAAGAGAAGCACCAGCTTGTAAGTTATTCCCAAAATAAAACTTCGACTTTGACATTTGCTCTGTCAGTAGTGCCATGCTATGCTTACGGGACTGTCGGTCGAAATTCGACATCAGTTGAGTATAGTACATATGTAATTGAAAGATGCTTCTCCGGAGGACATCTTCCGGGTTAGGATGTATTAGACCAAGCGCAATAAGCGGAATTGAGAATTGTATTCTAACCATATGTTTATCTTGTGAAGCGTACTTACCGATCAAATCCGTCGATTGCCATGTCATACAAATAGCGAGCTAGGACACAGCACTCTACAGCACGTCGAGACAGGAGGGCATGCCTCTCCGGAGATCGAGTTTTTGATGGCGAGCTGGGGGAACGATAAATTAATCTATCTGGCATGCAGGTGACTGGTTTTCCCGCTTCTGCACTGGTCATCAACATGGACTCGGCCAAACGAATGTTTTTGAACAGCATATGGAACGGACTATCGTGCGCAGCGGGTGAATCACCGTTTGTGGAAGCCAAGGATGACAAATTATCCGTTTTCGGTTCATCGTTCCCACTTTTCTCGAACGAGCCAAGTCCAATAACGGCATCCGTCAGATTGGAATACTGAACCTGGTAGAAAAAGTACGCAAGTATAATAAAAATCATAAACGATACAATACGAATTCAAAATGCTACACAAATAATTGTTTGATCAGTGATGTATATCGTAAAATAAGACCCACTCCCACTAACGTTGATAAAGCAATTATTTGATCGATAATTTACCGGAGTTGAGTTCCAAGAGCAATCTATCAATCTAGGTTTAAAGTCACCGATCAGCCTTCTGTATTGCGTTATTGAACGAAAATGGTCAAACAAAATTTGGAAAATTAAACTACAGCATCAACTACTGGGTTTAAGCAACAAGTTCGGAGTGGTACAAAAGCGCTTTGTGAAGTGTTGACCGATCAAATCGCAGACAGAATCTGATAAGTTTTAATTTGAATGGACTCAGTCAGAATACATGTCGACAACTCGAGTTGGATAATGCAGGAACAGCCACTACCACCACCTGTTTAAGTAAGCCCGGAGAGCTTCTCGAAAATAGCAATACTACCTGTGAAATCTGTGTCATGATAAATAACCCAGCTATGGTCTTTTTCGACTAACATACACCTCAGAGAAAATAACGAGGAGGTCCTCTCAGAGCAATCTTTTTTATTACACACATTTGAATGATGAGCAGCGGATAGGGCGAACCTCATAGACACGAAGACACACCAATTAGTGATGGAAACCGGTAATCTAAGCCTCAGAGTGGCAAACCACAAGGCTTCACCAGGTTAGGTGTGGTATTGAAGTGGACGGCAGCAAAGCTACTTAGCACCAAAATTGAGTGGCGGTGGCGGGGGTTGGACCTCGAACCACAGGGTCAAAAGTATGCCGATGACAGCGACTAAACCACTGCACGATGGTCACCGATGGTTAGAGACACTGAGTGACATGGCTGGGTGTCGCAAACAGTGGCGCTCGTTCATCCACTCGTTACTTTCCTAACACCACTCTATATTTCCCATCTTCTGCTTGAATTTGCTTCGACATCCCAATCTTCATTTCGCTCTTTTATCTAAATGGGCAACCAAAAGACAGCAACCAAAACCGGCGCACGAAAGTGCATGGTTAATGGTTATAAAAACTGAAACTGAAACCACTGCACCAGCACAACCTAAACACTGTCGATACAAATTTTGTACCAGTGTCTGAATTTGATCATCGATCAGTTTAAACCCAACTTTCCGCCAGGGGATTCCACCAATCAGGCAAAGTATATACATTAACAGTTCTCATTAATTTGCTGCATTGGCATCTACTATTCTCCGATATATTTTTAGGAGAAAGAAAAGCCCATTCACCAGTCAACACGTAAGCCTATTTTACTCCATCCTTCGATTCTGGAACAGAGGCTGATTTACTGAATGTCTAACACCGTTNTTATACCACACTTCTAGGTAGTAAGGCTCCTTCACATTACACCCCCTGATGTGATGAACAGTAGACGGGGCGAACCACATAGTCACGAGGACCTGTTATTCACTCATAGAGCAGAAAAACAGAAGCCTCGGAACTTGAAGTGGCGAGCCAGATAAGGCCCACTGCATTGGCGTGGTGCTGAGTCGGGCAACATCAAAGCTGCCTATCACCAATTGACTAAATAAAAATCATTTTTAGAAAATATTGCATAAATATCATGTAATTCAGTTTCGAATTCTCATCGGAACAATCTGAGATCTGCTATGATGTGTTTTTGATAATAATAGCTTTCACAAAAAAAGGCCGCATTGCAATACTGCACGATTCATGTCCAGGACGATTTCGCTGCATCTCAACATGGTGCAAACTGTAGAAAACACAATGTTTATATACGGCTTACGCCTGGCAACGCAGAAAGTTAAAATACAGTAAAGCATACAAACATAAAAAGGGTGAGGGGTAAAAGGACCATATCACCAGGGTAAGGGTTAACATTTTGAAAATTGGGTCCGAAGTCAGATGACGAAATCGAGGTCAAGTCCGCGAAATAGAAACAACCTTTGAAACTACAAGACTCTGTCATCAGCCATAGCTCGACATCTGATGGCACAACATTAGAACGACCGATGCACGGCATTCCGGATTATCTACAAGTCAGGAATTGCAAGAATGCTAAGGTTTGCAGAAGCGATTATTATCAAACGATGGAAGCTCCTCTTGTGTCAACAAAAATAACTTTATGTTAGTTTGTCCTTACCCTGGTGACATGGTCGCTTTACCTCTCCCGCTTTTGTGTTTGCCTGTATTTATGTATTTTCCTTTTTTTGTGTTGCCGGACTAAATCCCCACATAAACATTGTTTTCTGCGGCGTGCACCATGTTGAGATGCAGCAAAATCGCACTGGACATAAACCGTGCAGTATTGTAACGTGCTCTTTCCTTTCGAAATTGATCTCGGGGAAGGCTTGCTTCAATAACGGCTTTCATTTATTGTAAGTGCACTTTAGCTTTCTAATAGAAATTTTAGCCGAAAACCGAAGGAGAGCAAACCAAAGGCATATCTGTAAGAATGGGTTTCACGAACAGTGATGAGTTTGGTCAAATCTAATTTTGGGAAGAGGTCTAAAATTAAGCCAGCAAAACATTTGCCTCACTTCCTCAAACCAATGCGTGTTTTATCGGGCAAGATTAGAGGTACGTTAGCACTGAAACAGACGGAGGTTTCCTGTCCGAAAATTCGAGACGAGGCAAGAACTGATAAAATGATAATTAAAAAAACAAAGAATATCAAGTATTTCAAAAATAATCAAAGATTTGCAATCGGAGTAGTGGTCAATTTGAAGCATAAAATTGGAGCACGTTAAGTAGCTAAAATGTCGAAAACAGACAAAACTGGCAGTAGAGAGTTGGACGATGATGGTACACACATGGTCATCCACACAACGGAACCACAGCAAATTAAACACCCAGACTATGCATGAGAAGAGAAAAAGGCGAGAGGCAAGAGCTAAATTATTATATTTAGGGAAACGGGTGCTATATTTCATATGCAGCGCAAAGTCAGTTCCCTAATCCGGAACATTATCTATTCCAGTTGCAGCAGTTCTTCCAGACTGGAGCACAAATGGGCTCAGAAGAAATGTACCCACACAAAATGGTCCCCAACATTTTTGTGAGTATCGGTTAAACGATCCAATTTATGTTAATCGCAGACAGATCGATAGTTATCCGAAAATTAAGATCGATATTACCTACCAAACAAACTGCGACGATTCACGAAACTAGGTGAATTTGGAACTCACTAAATAACCACGCATACAAACAGTAAAGTAACTGAATTGTCGCGGTAAAAAAATTATCCAACAGATGATGAGAATAATTTTCTGATAATACCACGTTCACCGTTAGTTCACCGCAACCAGATTGACAGTATCGTTAGACTGACAGTCAGTGAGGTGGAGCAGGTCCATCATTTGGCAACTTTCAATGACGAAGGAACCCGGAGTTGTAGTGCACTTCACTTCAGCTTCGGACGCAAAACAATTTTTCGACTACATCTATCTGAACATGAACAGAACAGCAACTAGAGATCGGCAAAACCTAACAAGTCGTGTTAGTTACATAAGGTAGATTCGACATGAGTGGTCATCAAATGAAAAACGCGAAATGCACACTGGAGCACCAATCATATTTACATTGCATCACGTCTGTTTTCGACGGTGACATACTAACAGATGGGCATCGTAAGCACGAACACTTACCATGCAAATATGCTAGGCGGTAACGTCTACCACATGAGAGCTCGATATGAAAAGGAGTGCAGTAAGCTTGACAAAATGAAGATGACTTACTCATAAAGTGAATTATGAGATGAGTGGGTTGACACAGTACTGAAAGGACCCAGACGATTATAACCGCAACACTACGTACTCGACCAGTATGAATGGAAAAAGACGCAACGAAAATCGGGATATTGATGAAAGGGTATTCCTACGTGGTACAGCTTAGTGTTGATTATCTCTCGGGTCCACACAATAGGAGCGTTAGACAACCTAGTTCGAAAGTGAAGCTTCTGTGGTTTACGTGAAACGAGTTCCTAAAGCAGCCTGAATTATTAAACATAAATTACATATGGCCTAGTCGCAAAGATCATCTTAAGGGTAATGCGTGTGGAAAAGAAACTTTATTCCAGTTTATGCCTTTTACAAGAGAACAGTAGAGGATATGATTCGATGATATGATGAAGTTTGT